AGAGAGAGAGAGAGAGAGAGAGAGAGAGAGAGAGAGAGTTTTTATCCCAGGGCTGTAATGGTTTGCAAGCCTGGAAAAAATGAAGTGGGGAGATCTTGAGAGTAGCCAGGAGGCAGATGCAGCAAGTCTGGACTGTGGAGTCTTGGCTCAGGAGGGAACACATGGTTCCGGTTCCCAGGGGTTCAAGAGATGCGGGGAAGATGAGGGAAAGCAAATGTCCCAACTGAGAAGGCCTATGCGGAGAGAAGATGTACCACCAACCCGCAGAGCCCTCTCAGACCCATCAACTCTCCCCAAGGCCCAAAGAACAACTTAGAATGCTTGAATTTATCGTTTTCTATCTAAGGCACAAGGTCTTCTTGTTGCACATGAAATTTTCACAGCTCCTCTTTTGCAGAAGCTTGCAGTGATGAGAATTCACAGATGATTCATCCTTGTCATCATCTTTTTTTTTTTTTTCTTTTTTGCTTTTACTTCTGAAGCTTTCCATTGGTTCTGCAGGCTTTGGCGAAAGAAGTTTTATAGAAAGCGTTTTTCAGGGAGGTAAAGAATGCAAGACAAAGTGGGGAGTCCAATTCACTTTTTATCCATTTTGAGAACTTTTAAAAACATGCTGACGACAGATAGCGCTGCATCGTTGACAGACTGTAGTCTGGAGAAGGAAAACAGCAGAAACACGGGCCCTGAAGTCTTCTTTAGGGGCTATTGGCTGAATACCTTCAGCAAGAATTATATCCCTTTGAGTTTGGGTGAAATGGGACTTTTGATACTCAGGGTGGTTGTATTGCAGAGGCCCCTGGAAAGTGCCTTTTTCATCTCTGTTTACAGCATTCTGGTTACCTACCGATGACTAACATGACACTCCAAACTGAAGTGGTTTATAACAACAATTTATACCTCTCCCCTAGAGTTCTGGGAGTTTTGTGAATTCATTTAGATTGTTCTTCCTAGGATTTCTCTCATGCCTGGTAATTAGATGATGGGGGCTATGGGAAGGTTTGAAGAGGTGCAATGTCCAAGATGGCACCTTTACTCACCTTCTGGCTGAAGCAGAAGAAGGTGGGCAGCATCTGGCTGGCTGGGTATGATTGCTCACGGTATGACGGTTCAGAGCATTCAGACTCCACACATGCCTGCTGGCTTCTCCAAGAGCAAGCCTTCAAAGAGCACATGGCAGGCCACAGGGTCTCTGTAGGAATCAGTTCAGACTGTGATGACACAATACCAAGGGCTGAGGAGCTTGAACAAGAGATATTTATTTCTCATAGTTCTGAAGGTTGAGAAGTCTAAGAGGAAGTTGTCAGCATATTTGATTCTTGGAGTCGGGGGTCTCCTTCCTTGTTTGCAGGTGGTCGTCTTCTCATCTTCTCATTATCCTTCCAAAGCAGAGAGAAAGTGATAGATGGAGAGAGAGGAGAGTGAGAGGGAGCAGGAACATGCTCATTTTCTAGCTTCCTTATGAATGCTATGATGGGATTATCGTGGGAGTCCCACCTCCCTGACTTTATGTAAACCTCAACATGTGTAATTTCAGGGTCACAAATACTCAGTCCAAAACCCATGCCATTTTGCAAATAAAATGTATTTATTTCATGCCAATAGCTCTCAAAATCTTATCTTGTTTCAACTTCAACATTAAAGTCCAATGTCTCATCTAAATGACATCTGAATCAGTACAGGTGAGAGACTCGATACCATTTATCCTGATGCAAAATTTCCTTGCAACTGTGAACTTGTGAAACAGAGAAATTATGTGCTTCTCTGATATAATAGTAGGCAGACATAAAATAGACAGCCGCTTCCATTTGGAAAGAGAGTAACTGGAAGGTAGAAAGGGTGATGGGTCCAAATGAATCTAAACCTATCAAGGCAAATACCTTTAGATCTGAGGG